TTATCGGATATAATTGTCACGGACGAGTTTTTCACGGACCAAATTTTTCACAGACATAATTATTCACGGTCATGACCGCCCAAAAATGTCCAAATAATTGTGAAAATGTTTGGTGATTTTTAAATAAGTGTTTTACTCTTTTTCTGAACTCTAGAATATGACTGAGGAGTGATTAGTAACTTACCAATAAGTTAATATAGTAATCGGCTACACATATCTACGCATATGTAGGGACACACACACACTGAAATCAATGGAAATAATTACCGGACTTTATTATTCACAGACCTTAATGCCACAGACATTATTTTAACGGACTTAATTACTCACGCTATGGTCTTCAGCGTGAAAGCAATATCCGTGATAATTATGACCGATGAGGTAGTTAAGGCTTGTAACGTATATGAAATGGACAAAATTGTCTTAAATTCAAGGTTTCATTTTGCGAGTATATATGATGTTTTGATCGATTACAGATTGGCTATTTTTACAAATTTAAACATTTCTCAATTTTCTCCCATATTTTTAATTTAATCTTTACCTTAAACGAAATCTCGTGCTAGTCATGTTACATATAAAAAGACACTACAAAGTCATGGATGGGGAAAACTTCTTGGCTTGGTCAGTGGTAGATTGAACAGTGTTCAATCTACCACAGTAGTATGTCAGGGATTTTTCAATAGCCATTTTGGGAAAAAGTGGTGTACAGGTGCTTGGAGTAAGCATATTACGTAATGTTACCGGCGGCGACCTTGTAATTAGTGTGATATCATGTTCCATGTGGAGTCTATATTGGATGTAACTTGATTATTACGTCATGTTCATTGCCCACGGTACTATTGTGATCTTATCGTGTAACGATCTTACCAGATTAGAGTGGGTCAAAGTGAAGTTATAATGTGTCGCAAGCACACAATCCGTTATCCTATAGATCACTCGAGTGACTCATATTAATATTTTTAACCCTGATTATAAATTATTACGTCATGTTCATTGCACACGGTACTATTGTGACCTTATTGTGTCTCGATATTATCAAATTAGAGTGGGTCAAAGTGAGGTAATAATGTGCCACCTGCAGCACGGCGCACGCTACCCTTATCCTATATATCACTTGAGTGACTCATTTAATCGTTTCTAGTGATTAATTTCCACAATCTATCAATATAACTAGCTGACTGATGTTGTTAAAAATAAAACAAATGATTCGTAACTGGTTAGAAAAATAAATGAAAATGAATAAGTTTTTACGAATAGCATTAGCTGAATATTATTTACACGATACACATCCGAAAATAAGTTTTGACAGAATTAAATTAAGGTCTTAGTTTAAATCTATAAATATCAAATCGTACGCACACAATTCTTTCCACTGTCCATTTTGTTGATGGTCTGTGTAGTCGAGCATAGTCAAAGGCGTCTTGTTGCTCAATATCCTCAACAAATTGTATATAATCAGACGGAGTTTCTAATAATCGAGGGAGTGTAAACAGCATCGTGTTGTTTGACGGATGAAAGAACTTTAGTTCATCTGTAGTCCTGTCCTTGAGAATAAATCCAAACGCCACATTAACTTTGAACTTCTCGTTGTATTTTGCAACAACTTCTTCAGCTTTTCTTAAGATCGCACTATTATCCATGGTGAGTATAGGAAAATGGTAAACATCTTTCAATCGACCCTGTCTCACACTCGTTTTAATTGTGTTCCAACTCTTTTTGTAAATATCCTGATATTCTCCAGGAATTTGTGCAAGTGTGGAACGGTCCATAACTAATAATATTGACAGCAGAAGATTAATTTTGAAAAGCAGTTCTCCCAAATGCTTTTATAGTCTTTGTTCCGGTGGTCAATTTTATTCATTAATTTCAGTCACTTTGATCCTCAGATTGTGAAATGGAATTATTATCTAGCGTGCTTTCTAATTCTGACGAATCAATTTCACTAATATTAGAATCCGATGAGTACTGTTCTTCTTCCTTGTCTGATGCCGTTTCAGATTCTGACTGATCAGTCATAGAGTTATTGTCATCAATATCCGATTTCTCTTCTTCATTTACAGATTTTATTTCCTGTTTCTCATAATCAGATGGTTCAAATAATTCATCAAGATCAGTTTTCATCCGGTCAAACATGTTCACGAGATGATTAAAATTTTCGTGTATCATTGCTTTTGCCGTTAACTTCGAAGCATTAGATATTTCATTTAGCAGCTGGATTTCCTCCTCACTCAGTTTACTTAGATCTACCGTTTTTATAGACAATATTATCCATAGTATCTTGAATATCTCTAATATCATTTTTGTTTGATTCTACCGTAAGTTTGAGTATTCTGAGTTCATTTGATGGAAGAATGCTGTCCTCATATCTATCAAAGTGAGCATTATTACTCACACTGTCATTACTTTTCGTCTCCTCACTCATGTTCCGGACAAGTCTGTCTAATTCATCGACAGTCGATTGCAGGATATTTAGGTCTGCTTTCATTAGTACAATGTCCGTAACTTTATCCTGTAAATAATCATATCCAGGACCATCTGTTGTGAATCCGTTGGCTGCTGGAAGCTTATTCTTAGTAGCGTAATCAGTACCATACTCGTAGTCGAGTTTCACGGAGTCATTGGGTGAACTGTGGACCTTATCTATATTTCTGCTATCTTTCTGTGCCCGGTGATACGAGTATCGGTGGGTGCGAAGACTTTTAGAATTTTTGTACTGCCTTCCACAACTATCACATGAATATGATTTACTACTCATTTTCAAGCTAGATGAAGAACTATTGAATTCATATTAACTGTTAAAAGCCCCTTATATACCTCTTAGATGAGAGTGACATTAATTGAAAGAATTAGTCGCATCGTTATTATACATAAGTGACTACCCACACGCAACCTTTTAATAACTCACGTAATTCGTCTCCAAATTGCACCAAAATTTCAGAGATTATAGATATGGGTCAAACTTAGATTTCCTGAAAGTTTCGTAAGCCACGCCCAATTACAGTGGGCGTGGCGTGACACTCCCTTTTTTTCACTATTGTCTTCATAAAATGAGAACGCTATTAGTTAAGAACTCAAAATTTATTGCACACATTTGGCTTGATAATTGAAAACTTTTCCAAAAGTTTCAAGTTCATTAGTTTAAATATGGCTGAGTTATGACCATTTTAAAATCCATCGGATATGTGATCCGAGCACTCAGTCAGTGATATTTGCACTCAATTAGTGATCTCGTCACCCAATCTGATCAAGAGTAAGGCGTTAGCCGTTCTCTCCACCACTTCATCCGATCTAGTAGAGCCCCAGTGAATTGCATTCTGGGAATTGACATATCCGTTTATATGGCCTTGTCGCTGTACCAGATTTCGTCCTCAAAGTAGGGATCCACATTGTGCTTGGACAGGAATGTGTTGGCGAAATCTATCCTCGATTGGAAATCACGGTCCAAAAGTTTGTGTTTCTTTGTGATTCGGTAGGCCCGGTTAGAAAGGTCTTGCTTTAGGATTCGCTGAAGGGTTCTGCTGATGTCTAAGGCAGGAGCTCGTTTCCGGGTGCCAATCTTAGGTGTGTCCATCACGTCACCAACAACCATCGTGATGTTTTCTACAGTCCTCGCAGTTCGTCTTCTGCCGATCGTGTGCAGAAAACGTAAACTTGATCTTGTGATGAATGTCAAAGCAGCTTTTCCGGCAAGGGGGTGGTCGGTTGAATTTCATCTGAAATTGTCGTTTAATCTGAGGGTAGAACTCCCCATTTTCTTTCTTCAGGTAGACGAACAATCGTTGTTCTGCAGTAAAGGGAGGATAGTGAACCATTTTCGATGATTCAATGGATGGTTCATTCCTTTTTATTGATTGTAAGGAACCTGTGACTAGCAGGGCTAACAAGCCCTGAAATGGTGACACCACCATAAATTCGTGTGATAGCGTTTTAGGTGCAGTCAGCAGTATAGGCCGGCCCATAAGCAGGCTGCAACCAATCAAGCGGTGCATGTGAGCCAAACAGGCCATTAACTATCAAAATATTTCTCGAATACGTTTACATTTGCTTAGCTCTCTTATCTCGTATTCTACTCGTGATAAGACTGGCTCATAGGCGGTTAAAATTGCTGCATCTGAAACAGTGGGTATGAAAAGAAACACAGCCAAACGTCACAGAACATCAGACCCACAAGTCGTCTCTATGTCAGAAAAGAGACACCAATTACTACAACATTTAAACGACAACAAAATGCGTGACAGAACTATCCTGCGTAAGGAAATCAACAGACTCAAGAATGACATTGCAAAGCGCCTTATTACACTTGAAACCGCTCATGCCGACCTTCTAGCTGAGACGATCAACTCCACTGATGATACCAGAAGAATGTTCGAAGCAACCAGAGCAATTTCAAACACAAAGGACACTCCTCCTATTTCAGTATTCCTACCAGAAACAGAAGAACTTGCTCTCAATGACGAAGATAAGGCAGACATAGTCAAGAACTGGTTCATGGAACATTACACAGGCCCAGAACCCCCACTAGAACCTTTTGTTGGAGCTGCTAAGCCATTAGATACGCCTATAACTGCACTTGAAGTTGAGACAGCAGCCAAGAAACTAAAGAACGGTAAAGCCGTTGGTCCTGACAACCTCCCTAACGAATTCCTTAAGTATGCACCTCCTTCTTTCTACATGAAGTTTGCATCACTTATCAATGAGTCCTTTAAAAACAAGAGCACGTTCAATCGTTCACTGAGGGATATCTTACCCCCCTACAGAAGCCTGGAAAACCAAAAGGACCAGTTAAGAGTCTGCGTCCCTTGTGCCTTCTCAATGGAACTAGGAAAATCCTTTCCATGATAACACTCCAGCGTATTCAACAACAGATAGCAGACTACACTGGGCCATGGCAGAATGCCTATAAATCAGGACACAGCTGCTCTAATATTGTCTGGACACAAAGGGTTCTTATTTCTGTTGTCAAGGAGAAACATTGGGAGTTTAGTAAAATGGGGATAGACATGTCATCAGCCTTCGACACGATACATCGGTCAACTCTCCTCAGGCTACTCGAAGATGCAGGATGCTCAGAAGATGACATAAGACTAGTTAGATATCTGCTCGCTAACACCAAGCTCAGAATTAAGATCAAAAAGACGACATCGGGAGAGATCGAAGTCACAATAGGAGCCTTTCAAGGTGACTGTTTGTCTGGCTCGCTGTTTACCATGTACCTAGCTGGAGCACTCTACCACCTTAGAGTTGTTGTTATACATCTACGCCCAAATCCCCCCATATCTGAAAGCTCCCTTCCTTTAGAATGGGAATATGCTGATGATGTGGACTTTGCTGATGAAGATGAGGATTCGTTACACCAGCTCCTTCCAATTTGCAAGGAAATTCTCTCAGAATGGAATTTGTTTGTGAATGAATCTAAAACCGAGTTTGTAAAGTGTTATCTGGCTGGAAGTAGTGAGAAGGACGAAAAAGGAGAACCTCTAAGAAATAGAGAACCTTGGAGGAAGTGTGTGTCCCTAGGCTCTAAGCTATGTAGTAAAGAAGACATACAGCATCGTATAATCCTTGGAAATGTCGCATTCGAGAAATACAAGTTTGGATGCAAGGATCTAAGATTAATCTGAAGACCAAGATTAAGATATACGAAGCATACGTTACATCTGTTATGCTCTATAACTGCAATAGCTGGGCTACCCCTCAGAACCTATTTGACAAACTTGATGCATGTCATAGAAGACACCTGCGTCAAATATTGAAGATGACTTATCCCATTATTATCAGTAATAAAGCACTCTATGAACGCTGTGGTGTAACACCGTTGTCAGAGCGAGTGACATATGCTCGCTGGAAAATGCTTGGACATGTCCTTCGCAGTGACTGCTCATCACCAGCTCAGAGAGCTCTTCAATTTGCTGTTAATGCGTTATTTACCATGAAAGGACGTGTTGGTCGACACCAAAGTAATCTTTTAAAGTTTATTATAAATGATTTGAATAAAAGAAACCTACCATTACGTGATATTAATGATCTTTATGATCTTAGGGCTACTGCCTCTAACAGAGTTTTGTGGAGAAAATTATTTACCTCATAATTAACCTTTATTTTTCAGAGAACTGTTATGTTTTTTTGGGCACTTATCAGTCTCTTAAGATGTTTCTTTACTATTTCGAGATTGTTTTAAAAGTTAGATAATAATTAGATGCTAAAATAATTTTTGTACACTGAAGTGAAATCAGCATCAGAACACAAATATCGCCATGACTTATTTGTATAAGAGGGAGAAAAAATTGATCAAATGAAATGAAATGAAATCTTCTAATCTTCTAATCTTCTAATCTTCTAATCTTCTAATCTTCTAATCTTCTAATCTTCTAATCTTCTAATCTTCTAATCTTCTAATCTTCTAATCTTCTAATCTTCTAATCTTCTAATCTTCTAATCTTCTAATCTTCTAATCTTCTAATCTTCTAATCTTCTAATCTTCTAATCTTCTAATCTTCTAATCTTCTAATCTTCTAATCTTCTAATCTTCTAATCTTCTAATCTTCTAATCTTCTAATCTTCTAATCTTCTAATCTTCTAATCTTCTAATCTTCTAATCTTCTAATCTTCTAATCTTCTAATCTTCTAATCTTCTAATCTTCTAATCTTCTAATCTTCTAATCTTCTAATCTTCTAATCTTCTAATCTTCTAATCTTCTAATCTTCTAATCTTCTAATCTTCTAATCTTCTAATCTTCTAATCTTCTAATCTTCTAATCTTCTAATCTTCTAATCTTCTAATCTTAATGTTTTGTTGTCGGTTGTCCTCAAACGCTCCAGATATCCTCGCTGTCTCTATTCACCTGGGTTATTTTCATGATTGATAAACAGAATTATATTTTGATTCATCGATTTATCTATGTGCAACGAATTCTATAATTTGTCACTGAAACTTTAAAGCATGAGATCTATTATACTTATACCTTACAAGACATATTTATATGGTACGAAATTTGGGGATTTTTGGAAAAAATCCCCATATTTTCGTACTACCAAAATTGTGGCCGCCATTCCAAAATCCCACACATTAATTTGTATGTAATTGGCTTAAGTAGGGCTAATTTGAGGTGAATTTGTCAAATAAGTTGTTTTACGTGTTTTGTGAGACAAGGATACGCATTTCTCAGGTAAATAGAAAGTTACTTAGTATAAAAATCGCCGATACCCTCTGGAGGGTTAGAAGCTCAAACCCCTGTTGAGGGAGGCATACACCTGGGACTACACCGGTGAGCAGACTCAAGGTGAAAGAGACGACGATGAAGACGATTTAAAGAAGAGAATGATTTTTAATTAATTTAGTTTTTCACGATTTAAAAAAATTCCATCAAAAACTGATTTTGATTTCTCTGAAATAATTTAGCGTGAAAATGCGACAATTTAATTTGGGGTACGAAATTTGGGGATTTCTAAAAAAATCCCCATATTTTCGTTCCCCCATAATTCCGATCCCCAGAATTATGATCCACATAAATATGTCTTGTAAGGTAGTCTATAGATCATCAATACTGCTTCTTCTATCTTACTATATATAAAGCGAGACGATAGTTTTCCGTGCCATTTTACTGACACCACTGCATCAACTTTAACGCGACTTTCCGCAAAAACCGTAAAAGATATAGTACATGAACTGAAACTTTTTTGACTGGGTCAAATGCTTTAATGGCCTCCAAATCAGCATGAAAAAATAAAAAATTGGCCAAGGAATAGTGATTTAGAGCCCAAAATTTGGTGTCAAAAACGCGAATTAAATGGGTAATATTGATTTTAGTCTCTTGAGTCTTGACACCACTTTAGGGTTATGCGGGTTCCTGCTAGTGATTTTAATAATTGCACAAAATTTGAATGATGCTCGTATACCATCATCATAATAATATTACCACAGTGCAAAATAATTATTACTTGTCCGGAGATCGAAGATTTCTTCACGCTTTGTTCGAATTATTTTCTTCGAGTTGAGGTCGAACTCATTAACCTCCATTTCAATATTTTGCGACACCAACTCTTTAAACACACCCTCTTCTTTGCAAGAACACTCTAAAAAATAATCAAACTAAGAATATAACTTAAATTCTAAGCAGTTAAAAATGACCTTCCTGTTCATACATTTTGAATTAAAGCTTAGATTGGGTAATATTTTAAATAAAATTAACCCAAGATGTCCCTCCCTGTTCGTGCGTCTTGAATTTTTAAAATTTAGCTTGGCCTTAAGCTATGGATTTTTTAGCATTTAACTTACCTTTCGATCTTTTGTGAGTCCATGTCATCACGTACGGAATGGAAACCTTGTCCTTGCGCTTCAGAGCATTGCATACAACCCTCTTCTTGGGCGGGGCGGTGCACGAAAACTCTACCGATATACTCTTTCTCGAAGTTTTTGATTCCCCTGCAAAATGGTTCAACAGCATAAAATAGTTATAGAATATAGGATCTGCATTCTGCGGTAAGATATCGAAAAGGAAAATGATTATTGTAAGTGCGATCTTCTAGTAGATTGACAATTTAAACTAATAACTAAGTAATTATGCTAGCATTACATTTACATATTATGTCAGCTAAAACAAAATTAGATTTTAACTTTAAGCGTTTTGAAAATAAACTAAGGTTCATTAAACTATTAAATTACGCTTGTTACCTGAACTGAATTCGTATGATGCACTGATTTCAAAGGAAACACCAGCAGCGCCTAATCCTGGCACTCCAACTTCGAATGACGTGCCTGCAGTGACGGAGGCACCAGCAGTATGGGAAAATTCCATCGTATTCTCAACCTCAACTGTTTGGGACAATGGGACTACCAGATCTCTGCTGCCTCTATTATTCAATACCTTGTTACTGAAATTTAAATCGATTTATAATTTTCATACAACCTTAGTTCATTTTTATAACTATTTCATTGATCCAAAATCCAAATAATAGAAGCTTGTGAACTATAATTCGAAATTGATTAAACAATTATTCAAAGTCTAACAAAAATAAATTCAATTTTACTATTTTGTATACTGCGAAACTTACACAACGAGGTCAGGCCGAAGTGCAGAAACAATTTTTTTATCCATGTCGTATTTAATGTCAGTAGCTTCGAAGTCATCGCCATTGATATTGTTACAGTCGCATAAACCTTCAAAAAATAGTATTTAAAGATGTTTTAATAGAATTATTATTAACTTATTTTACTTACAGTGAAGCTAAATCTCACAAATCATTAAAGTACTCATTTTGTGAGATTGATAAGGAAAGTAATGAGGAGGGGGGCAAGGGGGCGATCGCCCCTGCTAACAATTGATCATGTATTTAATGAATCCAAAATCACCCACTTCGGCAGCTTCCACTGGGACACCTCGTGTGCTGGTTTCCCGCACAGCACAAACTGTCTCTCTGAATCACACTGCCGTCACACTTGGTACCCTGAGGAGTGTTGACCTTCTCCTTGTTTGATTTACAACAGTACTCTCCGTTGTAGTAGACGTTGGGATGGGTAGCAGGACATTCTATTTCTGGAAAATGAGCCAAATTTGTATATACAGGGTGTACCACAGAAAGTGTAACGTTTTTGAGAAATGATACAAAATATTATGAAGGAGCAGTTGCTAAAAACTCTTCGTCACATTGTGTCAATATGACGTGTCGAATTTATGCATACCAAATTTCAAGTTCCTATCAATTTTTGATTTCTCACAAATTGCTATTCTGTTATATGTTATATAAAAATAACCGTGAGTGTTGGCCGTTAGGCAGACAACCTTATAACGTAATTGGGGCACTGTGGCACTAGAATGAAATTGTGAATGAACTTTGTGAATTAAACTATCATTAAAATTGAATGCCGTTAATCAAAGCTTCTACATCAATTGCCTCTTCCTAAAACCCATCGGTCTGTTGTCAGGCCCTTGACCCAGAACGCAAGGCCTCGTGAACCGATCTACAGGAATCAAGCCCTGTGGATGCCTAGCCGTTAGTATAG